CTATGTGTACACTATCAAATAATATGATTTTTTTTACCACGAGTATGTGTAGCTCATGCAGACTTAATGCCTTGTAATAGCTATTTGGTGTTTGAACATCTTAACACCTCCTGTATGAATGCCAGAAAGAGTAAAGCTTTTCCTTATTTTTTTTATCATCTTAAGACCGTACAGATTTCTCGAGGATTAAAAAAAATATTGATTTTGACCGTACTGTCAGAGTCCCATAGATATCATTCAACGTCAACTGCTCAGAAAGCGCGTTATGAGCGCGTTCTTGCGTTGTGCAAAGTTAGAGCGAAAACGCGTTGTGTGCGCACGCGTTAAGCGAGGACTTACCGTGCAGTATTTTTTTCATTTTTTTTTTAGGATTGCCAGGAAGCAGCAATGTGAGATAACGATCGTGATATCTTGGCACCTAACGTTATTGAGATGTCATCGAATGTCTGTGTTGTCCTTCAGAGTACAGCGTGATGTTACCCCAAAGATGGATTCAATGGAAAGAGCCATTCTGTATTTGTCATGGTGGTATAAATTGCGAAGAGGCCAAGCTTTAAACACATCGGCAACAGACAACAAAAATGCTTGAAAAAGTCTTTATTAAAAAAAGCACATTAAACAGTTTAAAAATGCTTACAAAAATATTCCAGGTACAAAACTGTACAAAACTAGCAAAGGGAAACATTTAATTGCCTACTTTGATAAAGTGTCAAAACACTTTCTGACGCTCATTACTGCACAACGCGATTTAAAACAAATATGGGACCAAAACGGCCTGTCCCCACTTTCCAGATAAAACAAGTCTACATTAAACAGAAATACTGTGGCATAGAGAAAATCTCTCCTACAGACCGTTATCAGCAATGCCTCCAATAGAGAAATGTCAAGGCATGAACATGTACCTTTGAATAATCTCCAAAACAAATAAGACAGACGTGAGTTAAGCTGGACAAACCCAATTAACTATAAAGCTCTTTCCCAGGCATCCGTCCAGCCCAACATGGTTCGTGACGGTGGAAAAAAAATCACAAATCGATGAGTGCCGCATTAACTTTGTGAAATGATGCAGACTTTTATCGACTCTAAAAACATTTTTTATTTTACATTTATCCCATTTTTCATGGTACACTTTACATTTTTACCAACAATGATACTTAATTTATGTTACCAGTCATTTTTTTCAAGGAAATTATAAAATGTCCTTCTATGGCGCATACATGATAAACACAGCTCCAGCATGTGACACTGCAGCACTGCTTATTGAAGTCAATTTAAAGCAGCACCTTTCCTCTTTAAAGCACTTTGATGAGTTTTATTGCATTAAGTATTAAGACACATTGATACATTTCAGCACGCTCACCTACACCTCTCCCACCCCTACCCATGCCAGGCAGAGCAAAAATGATCTGAAATGCCATACTCCAAAGGCCAGATTGCAATGGTTTATCCCACTACCCTTTTTATCATTGACAGGTTTTGGTCAATTACGAAGCTGCCCACAATGCACTGCCAGCCAAACTCAAACAACAACTCTGCAGGTAAACCTGGTCAGGGGGAAAGGGTGGTAAGGAGATGATTACCGCAGGACATTTCTTATCGAGGAGTCAATGGGTGAGGTTCTCTTTAGGTAGCGTAAACCAGACGTGGTTTATTCCCAACAGCCTGGTTGGCAACTGGGAAGATGCGATCGGTACTAACACCCGAGTGTAAATGCTACTTCGAAACACGAGTAATTCAAGTCTCAAGACTTGCATTAGCGACTCGAAGAACAAATTTAAATGTTATTAAGCGGACATATTGCTTATCATTAATAATATTGAAGAGGGAAACAGTTTTCTAGCCTCCAGTTAGAAACGTGCGTTTAGAGTATTTGGCTGCAATACATTTCCACACGTTAAGCCTCTTCTGTGAGATGTCATTTGTGATAGCCAGGTCACTTCTGAAAAATAGCTATTTCGCTCAGCAGGCCTTACCTGATAAAACATAAAGTTTGCTTATTAAAATGACGGTGATTGTTCGTGACATGTCATTTGTTTAAATCGGCACATACGAGGCTTGATGTGGCTTTCCGAGGCTGAGATTTCAAACTGATATTCCGTTAAAATGGCTCACAATGTGAAAATGATATTTGTTCATAACATTAAAAAAATCTGAATAATAGACATTATGCAATGATTATATACACCAAATATTCAACTCAATAAATAAAGACTGCATTTTAAATTGAAAATATGAACAAATAGAAGTCATAACTGTAAACCCAAGCAATACAATTTTTCTCAACCAGAAAGAATAATTTAAAGCTTAAATATTAATAGACTGTGCAGATCCACTCCATCACAAAGCGCAGCCCTCCCAACTGTCACAAGAAGCTGCCATGAGCTCATTTGCTCAAAGTGAAGTTAAACAGTGTGAACTCTTATCACATGCATTCAGTAGGGCATCCCAAACAACACAAAATTGAGTTCAACGTCAAAACATTTACACAAATCGTTGTGCAGGTGTTTTTTAACCAACGATTTGCACAGCACCGAGCTGTTATCTCCAATCAGAGCGCCATATATTTGGATTGTTATTACATTTGTGAATCTTTGTGGCAGTCGAAAAAAACCCACCGTCGTTCATCGCGGCGAATGCATTCGCCGCCGTTACCCTTGACAGCGTCGCCACAGCCACGCGACTTTGTCCCAGCCGAACAGTCCCGCCGCCGCACGTACGAACACGCGTCGCTTTCTAAACCGGCCCCTCGAGCGATGTCTGCACTTGCGAGGCACGCGCCCACGTGTCACGCAACACGGCCACATGGGAAGTGCAACAACAAGAATCTAAACAAAGTTGCAATCAACACGAATGCAGACACCACGCTGCACTGCTTAACTTCATCTTCAGCCAGGAACACGTTCCTGATCACACGGAAGGAGAAACATTTACTATACTTCAGACTAAATAAGCTTCCCTTTGACCAAACTTAACAGTATAAATCAGCCAAAATAACCTGCGATGTTCAACACCAGTCAAGACTAAAAGCATCAGAATAGTTTAAAAGCCACTAATTATCTTTACACTGCTAATGAAGACCCTACACCAAGTGGCAGCATTTATATAAAGCATGGTAACAGTTCTTTAAACGTAATTGTAAATGACTATTTGATATCTCTTACTTTTAACCGTTTTCGAAGCGTTTCCCATGCAAAACAGAAATAAGCTCGACGAAATGTCTATGCTTAAAAGCACAGTGATATTATGAATCAACACCTTTCACGAGAAAATCTTCATTCGCTTTTAAATATTTTACACTACTCGCTAACATCTGCAGTTCCCCTCACCCAGAATCCCTGAACAAGGCGAGTCTGATGAAATTCTTGAAGTAGAAAAATACGAATGGCACTTAAAATGTTGCCGTCTATTTACACATAATTCAGTCCTGAGTTTGGTGTTTTTTAAAGATATTCGCCATTTCTCATCGTAATTTCCACGCGCACGCTAAACACCGCAGCAAGAGCCACAGGTCCGGGCCTTTTCCGTTTGTGTGTCGTGACCGTCACACATTCACTCAACCGAGCTTGATCTGCAAAAGGTGCGGGGGCCCCTGCACCTTTTGCAGATCACGCAGGAGGGCCTTGCATTAGGAGAACGTTTGCATCTGGAGGGGGCGTTACTACCCCGCTGTACAAAAGGCACGGGCGGAAAGCAATGAGGATGAAAAAAACGGTTGGTTGCAGCAAATGTACAAGGGAACACTGGGAAATTAATCCAGCCGCGCGCGCACACACAGGGACTCATCCGAAAGCGCCTGCTGGCAGCCAATCCTTTTGGTGCAGTACTCTTCAATACTAACAGGGGCAGCCATTCGCAGTGAATGTTACTGCACCAAAAACTGGTAGGGCTAAGACATAGATGTCAACATCGAGACCAGAGACTAGACATAAAACTCAACATTCACCCTAGGAAGACCTTGAAATCAATGATCGTATATCTCCGACACTGAACTCAATACCCACGCTATGGCCTCCGCCAATCGCCCAGCAAATACGTATTTCACACAATGGGGAAACGTCTATGCAGATGTTTTTTTGCGAATGCGGAAGTCAGTGTTGCTCTTCACATTATGGTTTTTTGCAAGCAAGATGAATTGATATTTAACATTTGGCCAGCCTCGATGTGAATTCGGACGTCCAAGTATTTTGAGAGCAACGGTTCTAATTGCAGGAGACGACAAAGTGTGTTGAAACGACCTTTAGGTTACATTGAGAAGCAACCACCGAAATAACAATAGGCCTGGCAGCATTCATGTAATAGGCAGATTGTTTCTAGTGTCCCTTGGAGACAGTGGGACTGCAGTGGGACGAAAACACAATTGGGCAGAGAACCACGGAGGGCAGTGTTCATACACAAATTGATCAAACAAAGTTGAGCGACTGTTGAGAACAAGTGAGGAAATCCTATCGCCATGACCACAAGCAATCGTGGCTCTAAATAAAAGGCAGATTTCTGACATTTAGATTCTTAAAAATAACACGAAAGATATAAAATACTGCTTCAAATCCAAAACTAATGCACAATAGCAAAACATGCTTGCTTCCCGAGGCACAGTCTTAGAGATCAGAGGTCTCAAACACCTGAGCCTGCAGTCATTGTTGCTCTAAATAAAACATTCCTTCGCTTATCAGCACAAAAACTCACCACATTCAATCTCCATCATCATCATCACCACCACCACCAAAACTACCTTTAAACCATACTCGTAGGTTTTTTCGGTAAAGTCACATAGGTAAAAAATAATAATAAAATAAGAATAAATGAAATAACTCAATTAAATAACGACGTTTCGGAGGCAACACAAGTCTCCGTCTTCAGGTGGGACCGTCACAGCCAAATTTACTGTATCAAGTGAAGAAAAATCCAGCAGACGATCTTAAATACTGGTTAAGGGGAGGAGCTTATCTAAATGTGGCAGTCAGGGACTGGGAGGGTGGGGGGAGTGGGCGGGACTAGAAGGGAAGGTCGTAATTTAATCGAGTTATTTTCATTATTTTATTATTATTAACCTACGTGACTTTACCGAAAAAAACCTAAGAGTATGAATCCTTGCAGTCACGAAAGCTTCAAATCTACCTTTAAACCACCGCTAGAGATAAGCTGCGTACCGGTATTTTCGCATTCTTCTTTCGAATGGATTAATAGCAGCAGATTAAAGATTTAGCTTGAGATTTCTGTTCAGATGCAGAGTGGATCTCGTACTTTCCTCCTTTAATAGAGCGAGGACAACAGCTGTTAACGATGTGGTCGAAGGTTTGGGATTCGTGGCTGCACTCGCAGGCCGCCAAATCTTTGATGCGCCATTTGTGCATCAGGTCCTGATTCGGTTGATGGTCGACCATTGGCGACGTGGAAGGTTGAACCGGGAGGTTCCATGGATAGACTGTGCAGATCCACACGATTTGTGGCGCATTAACAAATATAAATTACGTACGATATTTAAATCGAGTGAGCATGGCAGACAGCTTGAGCGCGCACGACAAAATCCAACACTGACACGTGAGTGGCTATGTGGCGCGGTCATGTGATCCAAGGGCTCATTAGGGGGCGTTTGGAAATGTGGCGCTAAACTAAGCGTAGTCTTAATTTCTATCGGAATTTAAAACAACCCTATACGGGTTTTGAGAGAATAAGATTTGTCATTGAGAAACGCTCTGGCGTGTAAAAATTAACGTTTTCGTACAGTAGTACCACATTTTCCACAGTAGTTCTAAGAAAGGCTGCAGTCAAAATGTCAATGAATACCCCATAAGTTAGCAGTACAGATTGTGTACAGCATTTGTCAAAAATTACTCCCAAAAACCAAGGTAATGACGATACGAATTTACTCGTTTACACACCGATGATGAATGCGTTGAGTTTTTTTTAAGACCTCCTTATCAATCCAAATTAAAGGTTTTCTCTTACATTGCCTCCATTTCAGTGGACAATAAACAAACCACTACCTATGCAAAATGTTAAACAAAGCGATGACTTTGTAGAATTTCACAATGACGTCCGAGTACGCTTCCTCTAGGTGACGATGGCAAGACACGAAAATTAACAAACCTCTGCACCTGGATATTTGTATTTGAATGCTTTGTGAATTAAAGATTGCACTGCACGAAGCATCTCTGTGTCTGTACATCGATCGGCAGGCCCAATCGGTGAACCCTGATCAGCACAATCTGGATTGCCAATTGTAACCAACGCATTGCAAATACAGCAGCAGGTGAACCGCTCGTTTACTCGGACGCCTAACTTGTATGCATGCATGTACGTACGTTGAACTTCTTTCGCACCGTACGAAGTCAACCGTGCTAATCGGACGGTGTGGCTTATTGTTGTCTTGCACGTTTCCCCACCACAGTCTACGGCTGCACACCCCACCCCCAATGCCTCACAGCTGCTCGTTTCGATTTGGAAATATAAAACACGTGTGCACGCACGCACTCACTCACTCGACACACAACACACACGCACCACAGTCCATGCTCTGACTGGAAGGAGGCAGGGAAGGCGCGGCGGTTGCTTGCGCAGTTGCCGTTTCACCAGTCCTCCTCCTCGTCGTGGTGGAGCTGCGGTGCTACGGGATTGACGGCGAGGGCGGTAGCGGCCGCTGGGTTGCCGGTTATGGCAGTTGCGGTGGCGATGGCGGTGGCGGCGATGACGGGGGTAGCGGGGGGCGGCACGGCCGGGGGGCGGCCCCCGCAGCACGGCTTAAAGAGGTGCGGGTCAATGAGCACCTCCCCGCACAGCCCCATGTACACGATGCCGCAGCACACCTTCTGCCTGAAAGCGATGAAAACGGCGAAACAACTTCAGTGTCATTACAGTCGATCAAAGGCTGTTTCGGATACATACCCGATTCAACATTAAGGCTGCCAACTAGATAGCTAGCGAGGTATTTCATCACCTTCATCGCAGCGTAGGGTTTTTTTGCGGTTGTGCTTCGTAGCTCTCCCAATTGTTTTAAATGTAATAGGTACATATACATGTTAATCTTTTTTTTTGCACCGTACACAGCCAACCGTGATAATCAGAGGTGCGGGAAATAGCTTAGGCTACCAAGGGTGAGCAGCGGTTACATATAAGGTAGAGTGTTGAATAATGCGCACAGCATAAAGCAACTTCATTTCTGTCCTGAACTAAAATGTGTACTCTGTAAAGTATTGTAACAACCTAAGCACACTTTTTTTTTACAAATTACAGAATAAATTATCTCCTTGTCAACTCCACGACCACTGTCCGTGCACGCAATTGACCTGCAGCTGACAAACTGGCCAAGGTGCACAGAAACTGTAACATGCGGATTCAAACTATAAACTATTGTTACTTTACCAGGTAAGGCCCACTGAGCTATGTAGCTCTTTTTCTGAAGCGACCTGGCCACAAATGCTAGCTCAACAATGGCGTATCATGTGTAAATTTACAGCAGTCAAATACTCTCAACGCATGTTTCTAAATGTGGAGGGAAAAACTGAAAGACCCGGAGAAAAATCCACACGACGACAGGGAAAACAAGCAATCTCCAAATATACAGGCGTCAGGGTCAGGATCAAACCCACGACTTCCTGTATACCAAGCTAGGTAATTAACCTTTTGGAGAGACCCAGGGAGAGAGACACCCATCCAGGGAGAGAGAGACCCAGGGAGAGAGACACCCAGGGAGAGAGACACCCAGGGAGAGAGACACCCAGGGAGAGAGCGACCTAGGGAGAAAGACACCCAGGGAGAGAGACACCCAGGGAGAGAGACACCCAGGGAGAAAGACACCCAGGGAGAGAGACACCCAGGGAGAAAGACACCCAGGGAGAGAGACACCCAGGGAGAGAGACACCCAGGGAGAGAGACATCCAGGGAGGGAGACACCCAGGGAGAGAGACACCCAGGGAGAGAGACACCCAGGGAGAGAGACACCCAGGGAGAGAGACACCCAGGGAGAAAGACACCCAGGGAGAGAGACACCCAGGGAGAGAGACACCCAGGGAGAGAGACACCCAGGGAGAGAGACCACCCAGGGAGAGAGACACCCAGGGAGAGAGACACCCAGGGAGAGAGACACCCAGGGAGAGAGACACCCAGGGAGAGAGACACCCAGGGAGAGAGACACCCAGGGAGAGAGACACCCAGGGAGAGAGACACCCAGGGAGAGAGACACCCAGGGAGAGAGCGACCTAGGGAGAGAGACACCCAGGGAGAGAGACACCCAGGGAGAGAGACACCCAGGGAGAGAGACACCCAGGGAGAGAGAGACACCCAGGGAGAGAGAGACACCCAGGGAGAGAGACACCCAGGGAGAGAGACACCCAGGGAGAGAGCGACCTAGGGAGAGAGACACCCAGGGAGAGAGACACCCAGGGAGGGAGACACCCAGGGAGAGAAAGACCCAGGGAGGGAGACACCCAGGGAGAGACACCCAGGGAGAGACACCCAGGGAGAGAGAGACCCAGGGAGAGAGAGACACCCAGGGAGAGACACCCAGGGAGAGAGACACCCAGGGAGGGAGACACCCAGGGAGAGAGACCCAAGCGCTGGGACCGACCTCTTCCAGTAGGAGCGGTCGAGGCAGGCGAGGGCTGGGTCGGGCGTGCTGGAGGGGCCCAGCTCCACGTCGGAGCCCTCGTCCGAGTGGGGGCTGTAGCTGGGTGACTGCGACGGCGATGCACTCGACGCGGTGCTGTGCGCATCCGAGCCTGTCGCACACGTAACACAGGTAAAGATCCCCCGTGTAGCCTCTAACAGACTGTTGGGGCGAGCGCCGCTGTTAGCGAGCACACTATGAATGTTGGTACGGTGCACGAAGGGGGTGTGGGTAGTGTGGCGAGAATCACGGTCCGCCTTATTTTTAAATCCTTTATATTAAGTTCGCTTGCTTGCTTAGGACTGTGCAAATCTTTCGGTCGTTTTTTAACCCACTTCCCGTGATCCAATCGAGCTGACATTTTGCACACAGACTCGTTGTGCGTGACAATGCATTTTCGTGAAAAAAAAAATTCCAAAATTTTACACTGTTTAGGGAAACATTTTTAATATTTAATTACCAATTGTTTAATGCTGCTAGACAATCATCTGACCCATAGGTGGCAGCCATCTCAAGCCAGAGGACGAGAGGACTCTAGCCACCCCGATGCCACGCATATAAAGGATTTATAGTGAAAAACGTTGTTTTTACGGGTTAATTTTTATTCCCAATGCTGAAGTTTAGACACCACACCAGGTGCTTATTTAAGGCCGATTCAACGTAGGGGAGGAGCAGGACCGGTTCAGATAATTATACTGCTGGGGCAGACCCTGGGGACAATTACGATTGTAATTGTATCATCCATCACGAACTCTCAGCGGAACGTAATTATAATTTTAGCATAAAATGTTGCTGCTTTTATATATATTCATCTAAATGTAAAGAATATAAAAGGGTGTTAACATAATTATTGCAATGCTGCATTAAGACAAACGTATTGTGTTTCTATAGGAATGTGGCTATTAAGGCACAACAAACACCGATTCTATTTGCTTTACGGTCTTCCGTAAACATGTTCAAGCACACGGCGAGCACGCACTTTGAATATTTAACTTTTAAGGTATTTTTTTTCTTGTTTTCCTGTTACACTCATGGCTGCTGATGTGTTTTCACAATTTATACTCCCCTGTCATGCAAAATCAGCCGCTCAAAACGAGGTTGCTTGGATTTGATCCATCAACTGGCCTACCACTTCCGTTATCAGAAACTGGCTCACTTGCTGATCGCAGCTGGCGCACCCGTTTCTAAACATCGCCACGGTCTATACGGAAGCAGACGAAAGGAAAATTGAGCGTCCGTATTTCCTGCCAGCTTAGCTAGGGTCTTGTACCAGGGACTTACACCAGTGAGGCTTCATGGACCTGGTAAAGGCCAATGATGGTTCCATCAAGATTAGGATTTGAATTGTGCTTCGTGTATTGACGGACTGCACAGCATATGCACCCCCCAACAGCACACCTGGGGTCAAACTTAATTACAAATGAGCAACTTTTTTTTTAAAGAGAAGAACACTCTGGCTGGAACACCTCAATAATGTGAACAACAGAACCAACTAAAGTCACCCGTGCATATTTACTATGTCTAACCATGAGCGATGCGCAATATGAAAAACAACAAAGCACACTATTAAATACTTATTTTGCCGCGCTTTGAGATGTACTGCACAGGATGGGTGGCATAAATAATACATTACGATGGCGACGATGATGGTGAAAAACACAGCCCAGGGCTCGACTCACTTTGTCTCTTGAGCTGCTGCTTGATGCGGTGAATCTGGCCCACACTCTTGGGTCCAACGAACGGGGACTTCATTTTTTTGGGCTTCATTGCCACCTTCAGCCCAGGGCCAGCCCTTGCATCAACCACCTGACAACACACACAGCCCATGTATCAACCACTGGACCCCCACACAACACCAACACACACAGCCCATGTATCAACCAATGGACCCCCACACAACACCAATACACACAGCCCATGTATCAACCACCGGACCCCCACACAACACCAATACACACAGCCCCAAGCATGACCCACCTGGCCACAAAACAACAACCGCCATTCGCCACCAAGTGGCGGTGACGTCACCACGACGCTTGTGCCAGGCTATGTGCACCTTGAGGCCACGTGAAGTGTCGAACACCCGCTGGCAGGAGTTAACAGGGCAGACCCAGCATGTGCCACAGGTCGACTGACTGAGACGACTGGCTGATGCACCACCTGTACCCCCTACTGTGCCAACTTGCTGTGCTTTAGCCACCCAGTGCTCCGCTCGTTGTTGAGCGTCGCTCCTCTGCCCCCTCTGTTGTTGTTGGAGGGCGACTGCCCCCAACTTGCCGAGTAGCGTCCATCACGAGCCTCCTTCAATTAGGCCGATCTTGACACCGCTGGTACCAGTCATCGGCAAGTCCACTCAGCTCCACGTCCTCCTGTACCACATCACTCCATCTCTTCTCTAGCACGTGCCGCACCCGTTTAGTCCCCTCGATCCGGCTGAACAAAAGCTGTTAAGGCATACGGTGGCTGGGCATGTGGGCTACATGACCCAGCCAAGGCAGCCTTGCCTGCCGGAGGAGCTCACTGATGGGACTTTGTCCGGATCTTTCAAGGATTTGTGAGCTCCTCACACAATCCAGCCTGGTTAAACCCAGGATGGATCGTAGGCAGGCCAGCCAAAATGTTTCTAACCGGCGAAGATGTTCCATTACAGGGGTCCACGTTTCGCAAGCATAGAAGAGGGAGAGAATGACCGTGGCCGAGAAGACCTCAAGCTTCGTGCAGAGCGATAGACCAGGTAGCTTCCACACAGCGTTACGCAACCGATGAAAAGATAATACCGCTTGACTGATTCGGAGTGAGACCTCTGCTGTTAAACCGGAGCCGGTCATGAGCACACTGCCAAGGTATGGGAACTCTCCATTCTCTCTACAACTGCCCCATCACCAATTGGGAGTTGTGGGTGTGGAGTGTCCGATGGTACAAAATGGTTGAGCAATAGGGAGCCATCCCTTAACCGCACCCGGGCATCGATCAGCCTCCCATTATATCTGTACCTGGCCACACACACACCTAGCATCAACCACCTGGCCACAAACATGCATATACCCAAATAAAGTTACACCAAACCACGAAGGGAAAATTCACACGAGAACCACCTGTTACATGGTTTTGTATCTGTAGGTCTCTGTGCGTGTGTATGTGTTGGTATCGCAGGCAGCACAGGTGGTGACATATCAGTCATCTCAGTCAATTATAACCGATAACATCTTAGTCTGTGAGCAAGCCTTCGACACTTAGCTCAGCCTCAAAGTGTACCCAGCCTGGTGCAAGAGATCCGGTGGCGTCACCGTTACCGAGTGGCTGTTGTATTTGCATGTGCGTCTATGTACAGCTGCACTCATGCACCCTCTGCACGCATGCACCCTCTGCACGCATGCACCCTCTGCACGCATGCACCCTCTGCACGCATGCACCCTCTGCACGCATGCACCCTCTGCACGCATGCACCCTCTGCACGCATGCACCCTCTGCACGCATGCACCCTCTGCACGCATGCACCCTCTGCACACATGCCTGTGAATGCGTGTGCATGCGTGCGAGTCGATCTGGCGTCTCTCACGTGATTCCAGTTGCGAGTGGACCCCGCTGGAAGCTTCTTGCACCTCTTGACGAGCAGCACGCAGGCATTGCAGATGTCTCCAGTGCGCGCCTCCGTGAGCCTGAGGACATAGCGCCGCCAAGACGGACCCACGCACAGTCACGACGTACAGCTCTGGACTAGCTTTGGGGAGAAAGCCCAAGGTATTTTCTCCTACGCAGATAAAACACGATGTGATGCAGCCAACCCCCTGAGGTGTCAGTCTGAGAAAAACCAAGCAAATTGGTGATGGCATTCAATTAAAGGGGAGGCAAAGCAAAAAACAAGGAGCTCTATTTTATATTACAGACAGGTACCCAGGCTGTCAGACGTTATTTTTAAGCTCTGGTAATTATAAATAATCGTTCTACTGTCTTTTGAGGCACACTGCCATAGCACCCTCTTGTAACGTCAGGGGAAATACTGGAAATCATTCTAGTTACACTATGATAACCGCACCATACATATGCACAAGAAAGAGATTTAGCCACAACACGAACTCAGGGTGTTGAGGGCTGGAGTTTGAAAGCCATATTGGTGACGTTGCCCCATATCTGGGAGTCTGGATTCCAGAGGTGGATCACGCATTTTTCCAATAATCATATTTCAGCTCCTGTACTGCTGTGGCTTCACATTGCTTTGCTATTTCGGTAGAACAGCAGCCAGATGTTTTGTTGGGATGCATCTCTGCTCATCAGCAGGCAGTGCCCCAGGACTACCGTTTTAAAGAACACTGCTTCTTCAGCATCACTGTCAGTCGCCCACCCAAACCATGGCAGCAGCAGATGTGGATATCTGATGCACAAATGGAAAGTAAAAAAGTTCTCCAGTAGCGTGCAACCATGGTCATCCAGAACAGATAGTACAACGTATATCGACGCAATGTCCCAAGAGATCTACAGATACGAAGGAGACATCGTGGTGATACACTCTGCTGGCTCCTGGCGCGGTTATCTGGCTTCAAGCACCTGAATGTAAAATTGTAGTTGTCACTCTGCATCTACATCAGCCGTTAGAAAGAGGACGACAACCCACCCAAAGCAGCTCTTGAATTCGCCCTGGTAACGCCGGCTGTCCGTGAAGCGAGAGCTCGAAGACTTGGCCTTGCAGATGCAGCATCCGTCAGTGCTGCGATACATTTTGGGACGGTGGAAACCGAACATGGTGGTGTGCAGCGGTGGAGGGTGGGGGGGGGGGGGCACGGGGGCCCGGCGATCCACACGGCTCTGCGACGAGCTCTGCCTGGGGAGGGGAGCAGCGCACAAGGGCAGAGGGATCAGCAGCGGGCTCGAGGTACAGTCCGTTCTCGTATAGAGAACACCACTTTATGGAAAAATTGCGTTATAATAAATAATATATGGTAAGCATAGTCCGTGATAACGCGTGAGATGTGTACGCAGGCTGGACAAAGACTGAGGCACCTGGGTTGCATCCAGAAGCATCCCGCCTCGTATGATGCTACTCCGAGGCAGCCGTACAACCCGCTTATTCTTACTCGCACGACGTAGTTCCAGTCGCTCGATCACGTAATATCCAATTCCCATCCGCGTTATATATATAAAAAAAAGTGTTCCCCAACACATTCATCGCGTCATATCCAATTTGCGTTACGAAAACAACATATAGCAGAACGGGCTGTACCACGAGCAAGAGCCGAATGAGAGACGAAATGCATCTCTGTCAAGAACGACCCGCCAAGTGGGGCAGACGCTCATCCGGGTGAACGAACACGGAATCAAAATGGGATTGCCGTACAACAGCATGGCGGGACCCCGGGGTCCTGAATAAACGGAAGTCAAAATCGTAATTAATTCCATTTATTTTTGGCGACTCCGTCCCACCACGCACATAAACGCCGCGACCCACCTGGCGCGGATGATTCTGTTGTCATGTCGTCCAAGCGCAGCGAGGACGAATGCGTAGAAGAAACAAAACTTTGAAAAACATTGCCGTATCGTTCGCTTTCAACAGACATAAAATGACGTCGCAACGCAGTTTATGCAAGAGCCGGGAGCTTATGGCAACCTGGGGTCCCGCCATAAGGTTCACTTGTGCTCAAACGTCTGTGCCAACCTGTGTATAGACTCTTTAAGAGATTTATCACGAATTGTGCATCAGCTGGAGGCAGTGAGTGGGGTTCATAGTGCCTTGTCCTAGTGGAGAGTAATGTAGGTATGATGTTGAACTTCTTTCACACCGTATGTAGCCGATATTGGAAGTGGCTCTGCCTGCCCCCCTATCCACTCCCCCAAACGAATAACCAGTGGTGGAGTATGGTCAAACAAGTGGCACTGCCGACACAGCGCAGGAAGTAGGTTAAACAGTAGGATTGACAAATGGCCGGAAATTATTACATGATTAAGCCACAACTGTGCTTTAAGAGTCACAAGGTGAAGAGGCATCATATCCAACAGGAACATCATGTCATCAGTAAATGGCCCTTGACACTACAGAACTACTTCTGGAGTAATTGTAATTTGTAAAAATTCCAGATTAAATCATTTAAATATCGCTTTGACCGTCACACGACGAACCTCTCAAATCCCGAGTGAGCAGGAAAATTGTGCCCGCTACACTGTCGACCAGGTCACTTGAAGAAATATCACAGGTAACTCTGCAACATCCGCTTCCGTAGGCCGTTCGCCAACAAGAAGGCTTCCGCACTGCTCTGTGAGAAAGACCCGTATGGATACGTCGTCTCGTGACATGATGGCACAATTGAGATAAAATTGTGGGGGGGGGGGGGGATTCCAATATGTCTGTATATATATAATTTTTTAAAGGTAAACTCGCAGAGTTTGACTTTGAAGCGAGATGGACGGTGCCGTGCGTCGAGGTGACGCTGCGCAAGGCTCCTGCCCCGTGGTTTCCGAGCGGTTGGACCGGTTTGTGTAACCGCTAGACGGCTCCGCTGCATACCCCTCCGCCCCAACACCCCCGTCAGGCGCAGATGGACACAGCCCGTCACACCCAGACACCACCGCTGCGCCACACACCACGAGACAACACCGCAGCTGCAAGACCACGTTATATTGCTTAGGTAGCCTCGACAGCCACAAAGATGGATCAGACTTGACTTCAGACCGTGCTGTTAGCGCTCGGCCACAAAACTGCTAGACGGACCAGACTATAGCATTACACTCTATCACGGATACGCAACAGGTTTATACCATTATGCTTTACCACTGCTACATATCAGATTTCATGTATAAAATCAGGTTACAGATAAACCATCCTACTGATAAACATGCTGAATAAAGATAAACGTTATCCTACCGTTAAGCTCGTATCAATATCATCATAATCATCCTCAAGACATCACCTATCCACTGCTGATTTACTCTTGCTATTGCTATGTCTCAGCGCAATTCTCAACATGTATCGCTCCCCATATGCTCTCCTTTGTGCACTTCTTATTTTCTTTTCACTGTCTTTGACAAGTGTCCAAGACTTTGGAGCCATACGCCAAAGCAATAAAATATGGACCGAGTGAGGACGTTCCTCCAAAGGCACACTGGGCATGGTCGATTTCACCATCAAGAGTATGTCTCCTCTATTGTGCGTGCCGTCTGCAATGTCCACCTCATATGTATTGCGTGAGCTGTTGTAATCAATTGTAACATCTCGTTTGGAATATGTATGTATGTTGAACTTACTTCACACCGTACGTAGCCAGCCGTGCTAATCGGAGATGCGGGGGAAGGCCAATAATGTAAACACAAAAAGTAGTTCTATAGAAATGCATTTTCAATCCAGATTTAAAAGTGCATTGCTCCAGTGGCTTCCGAATATCGGAAGAGTTCCAGACGGCTACAAAAGTGTGCGATGCAGTGACCGTCTTTGTTTGATGGTTGAATTTCACAGTATACTGTCCCCGTCTCGTCTATGGTCTCATTCGTACTGTATATCCCATGGGTGCTTTTGCACCACTGTATTTTGTTTAGTTTGCACTCGTACACGAATATCCCCGGTACAAGCGAATACACACCTACTGAAAAACCAGACCAATGGAAAACAAGACCAGACTACTGATAAACTAGAATACACAGAAGAGCCAGACGACTGCAGCATTGCACTGTTCCACAAGGCTACAGACCGTGCCTAATGCCCATGGGTACCGTTATACACCAGGGAAGTGCTACACAACAGAGCCGACCTACACTGCGCAGCCAGATCACCCTATTTGCGCAGACAATTCCGCAATTACAGTATCATCAGAATGTTTGCCTGGCGGCCCTTTGATTGGTGAAAACCCACTGCCGGTGTCTTTGTTATTCCCCTACATTAACATTAGCTGCCCCACCCATGCTGCTGACACAACTTGGGCTATGCACATTTTTTTACTTTACAAACAGTTTGCCTTTAGAGGCTAACCCCCCCCTCCCTTTTCCTGATGATGACCGCTTGTGTTGAGATCGAAACGTCGTAGTTTTTTGTTATTTTCTTTGCACCTATCTAGGTGACTTTACCGAAAGACCCAAAGAATATCATCAGAATGTTTATCCTGGAGGAATGTGATGAGCTTTTAAGCTATTTTTCACAGATGTTCAGCAGGGGCAGGAAACTAAACGACATGTCTCGGGCCGTGTTCGCGAACACAAGGCAGATCTGAAACAAGGTAGGACCAAATTTTAGCGACCCCGGTGAACAGAGGGTGATGGTGAAATGTATGGCAATGATTATGGGCGATATGCATGCTTATACAAATACAGGATGCACAATAGATTTGAATCCGTGCACAAACACATGTACAGACAGCCCTTTTGTAAATCCATGCAGTATGGGTCATGGGGGATATTTAAACATACTTCACCACGCCGGTCAGTACAGGTTGGGGAAGGCAGGGGAATATTTAGAGCTAGTAGGACTGCATATGGCTGCTGTAGCCCGCATGAGCCTATAACATCTGTTATGCATGGTGATCGGCTAACCAAGAACTATCCAGACTAAATCATTGCTTAGCTTTCAAGATCTGACGAGATCGGCCGAATTCCATGCGATTCGACCATGGGCGCATTTTGTTGTGTACATGCATTTACAAATATACACAGACCCGACACCCACGCGCACATAATATACGAAATTCCACATTACTATAGACGGAGGTTGGCGTTTAAAAAATAACATAAAAACACGGATGACTATAACCAAACTTTGGAAATACTGTACCACTTTCCCGAGTATCAGTCCATCATCTGCAAACAAGGCTCATGTTGATCTTTGTGCATCACTTCCTTCATCGAAAGTGGTGCAGCGTCTGCAGTTGTACTCCGTTTAGAAACATGCATTTAGATAATTTAGCTGCTATAAATTTCCACATGAGCCACTTTGTTGAGCTATCATTTGTGGCCAGGTCACTTCTAAAATAGCTCAGTGGGCTTTACCTGGTAAAAAGAAAAGTTGTATTTGTATATATGTTTTAAGTTCTTTGTTTACCTTCCACATTATACTTTGAGCTCCTCTGGTGTTTTTGTAATGTTTGTTGTTGTAACGTTCTTACCCGCCCCTGTGAAAAGAGCATTAGAACTCATCGCATTCCTCCAGTATGAATCAATATTCCGATTAGCGACACGACTGCGGTGATAATGCCAAGATAGATGATTGACATTACAGGCATCAAGAGTGCGTGGTTCTCTAATCCACGTGTTCCTCTCAGTCTCAATCTAGTCATTCCGAGCACACATTTCTTCACGATTTTATGCCACTATATACTTGAAGTTTACATTTACATCGTCAATACACGTCGAAGATTTATTTATACTGGAGCAAACACGATTTTTTCCACAGATGTCCAGTAGGGGAAGGCAAGAACGTGATAACAAAAATACGATAGTCATGCAAAGAATTGGAAAGGTAAATAAATCACCCAAAAACACAGATACTGAAATAACTTTCAGTAGTTATCGAGCACCAATGAAGTACAAGCAGCGTGGAACACCGCATCGTGGAAAATGCCAAGGCCACATGCTCACCCACACAGCACAGGGTATGTGTCAACGTTGTCTCCCATCACACCACAGGTTTGAGGCCCAGTCTACCTACGGCCGCATTAGTAACCCTTTGATAAAAATTAACCCGTAAAAACAAAGTTTTTCACTATAAATCCTTTAAATGCGTGGCGGCTAGAGTCCTCTCGTCCTCTGGCTTGAGATGGCTGCCACCTATGGGTCAGATGATTGTCTGCCAGCATTAAGCAATTGGTAATTAAATATTTTAAAAAAATTCCCTAAATAGTG